CCCGGCCGTAACCTGCGCTCCTGCCTTTCCCCCTTCCGGCACAACTGTCCCCCGGTGCTGGGGGCACTGCCCCTGCAGCCCCTCCCGAGCTGGGAGCGCTGCAGCTGCTGGAGCAGCCTGGGTGGAAGCCCAGAGGCCCGGGACTCGAGCACCTCTGTTTCCAAATTCCTCTCCGGAAGGAAAGGGACCAGAGGGAGCAGGTGCTTATGGCCAGGGCAAGCCCTGCCGCCCAGCTGCGGCTCTCTCTTTTCTTGAAGGTTCTTTGAAAAAGGCCGAGGCTTAAAGGGCACAATAATTTTTTGAAGCAACAGCCACCTGATACCATCTGTTGCTTTTTTGGGGGCCCTCTTGGTGGGAGGCCACGTCATGGAAGAGGTTGACCATGCCATACAGCAGGTTACTGGGAAGTCAGCAGCCAAATGGAGCCAGATCCACCACTCCCCATCTCAAACCCATCCAGGAGCCAGCGGACAGTGCCTGTGCAGTGCACATGTGGCCTGACTTGCTGGATGAAATAGCAGATGGCTTGAGCTTGTAACCTTGACTGAGCTGACAGGCATCAGAAATTCATGGTCAAAGCCCTACACGGTCTCTGGTCAAACCTTCTAGGCAGAAAATATAGGAAGCCCAGGCCATTTTTGTTACTTTAGGCAAAATCAATAAAGTTGTGCTTATTGATGCAAACACTCCCAACATTTTGAACCCGATCAGATGTCATGTTTTGAAGTTATCACATTGCAGATAGATAAACAGAGAAAGGACACCAAAGCTACAGCTGCCTAAAGTTGGCAAAACAAAGCAACAAGAAATATACCACATGACCTTTTCATTGACCTAGTCAAGAATAAACAATGGGGTCTGGCCATGTTTTGATTTTGTTACAATATCTGTTTGTTGATTCCCTTTATATTCCTTGCTCCATCTTTGAGAAGTTTGCAGACAATTGAAGAGATTGTCCCAGCGTTCTCTTAGTGTTTGTACAGGAGCATGGGACAAAGGTTGCTTCTGCACAGACAGGCAGCACAGGATACAGAGTTATTTCAGTGTTAATAGGCATATTTCTGTAAATTTCCATCTCAGTAATGAAGGAGACTGCAGATTTTGCTTTCTCTCATTTTTAGTCTTTTTTTTTTTTTGACCTGACAGAGGAAATGAATCCATAATACTGTGCTGTAATGTGACATGCAGAGCTGTCAAACTGTGACACTTGGGATGAGTGAGACATTTAAACGTCAGAAATTCAATTTTTAATGGCACACTGGCAACACAGACCTAACACTTCATCACAAGGATGACACCTTCTAAAAGCCATTTTAAAATAAATCAGAGTGAGGATGTGCTCCTTTGAAAAAGGAATACATTTAAACAAGTTTCAGGAATGAGGAAACTGTATAACAGTTTCATTATTAAATCAATAAAATTGAGAAGGTTTTGGTGAGAAGAGATGTGGAGATGCAGTTCAAACCCACCTAGTCTGGTGCTGCTAAAGCAACCTTCATCAACTACTTGTTGTGCAAAGTACACTCCTCTTACCTCTAAAAGCAATTCAGTTTGCAAAAGCCCTTAGAGATGACCACCTTTAGACTGTTACCTACAGCTTGTTGGCATTGCCAGGTGGGGAATGGCACTGACTTACCATGGCACAGACTCCTGCTCTAAAGCCACGCCCAGAGAGGTCCCCAAAAGAACATGGCAGAGGGGTCCTGTCACTCTTCCCAACAGCAATTCCTCTTCCACCACCTGGGGAGACAAGGAGGAGGCCTTAGTGCCCAGAACACAGGTGGGCTCTCCCCAAGCACAGCAGCAGCTCTGCTGAGCAGAATGAGGAGTGCAGCTCGTGGGGCTGTTGTGGCCACACGGATGGATCCAGCACGGTGAGCTGCTCCCGTGGGTCAGCACTGCACTGGCTACTCTATGACAGCAAATGAGTCATGGCTTCACACTGGGCAAGTGAATGTTTGATATTTCACATCTAATACAATTTATTGTGGAAGGGATTACTACCCTTATTGCCTTGGACATTAGGACAATAATTCAGTAATATTGATGAATACACAAGGAAACTAATTTGTTAAAGAAAAAAAGTGAGTCCAACAATTGCCAGGATGATAAAGAACAGAAACAATACTCCAGGTTCAGCCCAAGTTCTGTGGTGCCTAAACACCTCCATACAGCACAGAAACCACTTATTGCAGTCCTGTAGTTCTTGGTGTGTTTGCAGTACTAAAT